AGGAAAGAAAGGAAGGAAAGGAAAGAAAGGAAGGAAAGGAAAGGGGAAAGGAAAGGAAAGGAAAGGAAGGAAGGAAAAGGAAAGGAAAGGAAAGGGAAAGGAAGGAAAGGAAATAGGAAAGGGGAAAAGGAAAGGCAAGGCAAAGGCAAGGGCAAGGCAGGGCAGGGCCAAATTCATTTCATGTATAACCAAAATGTTTATACCCCATAACATACTGAAATAAAAATAAAATAAAATAACAAAAAGACGTAGAATGTATCTTACACAATAAACATAAAACAATAAATGTCAAAGTGAAATGTCAGAGATATCAATTGTCAAATTAGTATTAAGGAAATTGGACATTTCATATTAAATACCTAATAACTAATCTTGATATAAAGTGTAGTAAGGGAGCTTTGTACATAGGCCCGTTCACTCCAAGTTGACAATAATATTATAAGCATGAAAGAAATAAACCTAACATGGTCTTAAAAAATCTTGATATCTTGTTCTAGGTTCTGAGAATATTTGCACCTCTTCCTACTTCGTTATATTTCTTAGACACCGTAGGAAGACCAAAGAAAGATCTGTACCCAAGTGAGAAAGAGAGTGCTGTTAGTACTCTGTGCTGTTAGTATCACTGTTGTTTTAGCCTTCTACAGGTGGCTATCCAGTAACAAAAATATTTGTATACCCTTAATATTTTGAAATAAAAAAGAAAAATAATAGATTTGATAGTGGAATAGACAATTTTTAATCCATTTACATATTAATTCATCAGATATTTACTGAGTCACTTCTATGTGCCAGGAACTATGTTAGATGCTGAGAAGACAGGGCTTGAATGAAACAAAAGAAAGAGACAGACAGACAGACAGACAGACAGACAGACAGACAGACAAGCAAGCAGGAGGAAGAAAAAGAATTAAAAAGAACCCAAAAAGCATAAAGCAAAACAGAAGCAGCAACTGCCCTTAAAGGGCTATTGCATTATGACATGTGGAGAACGAATAGGCAAAGGGAATCCATTGCTACACATCATAATTTTATTTTTTTTTTCTTTTTAGCTCCAAGAGAAGAATGATACTTCCGGAAATTGGTACCATAAGACAAAGAAAACCAGCTAAAATGGTTGCCCCAATCCACTTCCATTCAACTTCCAGGGGAGTAATTTCTCAAGATCCAGTTCCTGAAGAATTGGGATTATAAAAATATAGGAGGGCTTAACATTCTGACATGTCTTTCCAAAACTGTATGAAATGTTCCCTTTATAAAAGTTCCTTCATATAAAGAAATAAACTGAGTTTATTTTTAGAAGTTTAAGACGGATTAATACTTAATTATTTAAGTTGTTTTA